CAGTGGAAGGGGGAGGTGGGGAGGGATAGCCTGGGGAGAAATGCCAAATGTGGGTGAAGGGGAGAAGAAAAGCAAAGCACACTGCCATGTGTGTACCTACGCAACTGTCTCGCATGCTCTGCTCATGTACCCCAAAACCTATAATCCAATAAAAAATTAAAAAAAAAAATCTTCACAGCCTTATTATTTCTTCCTTTCCTCACTCACTGCCTTTGGAAGGCCTAGAGACTGAACCCACTGCAATCAGTGTATGGCATGTATCCAAGTCACTGCTCTACAAAGTATGGAGTAGAAAATCCTATTTGTAGCAAAAGAAGTAAGACAAATTACTATAATGTTTTATCTACATTGTGGCATTATGATAGATGTATGTTATTAATCCATGTCATTTAGCTCCTGATCAGTCTTTGAGGAGGGTCTTATTATTATTCCTATTTTAAGATGAGTGAAGAAATATTCAGAGCAATTGATGGGGTTCTTAGTGTTATTATTATTAATTGGAGGTACTGGTTTTGAGTCTAACTCCATGACTCTAAAGCAAGTGCTCATAACTTCTGTGATATGGGGTATAAGAACTAAGGAGTTACAGAGTTTCCGAGGAGGAATAGAGGAGGAAACAGTGAGAACCTCCCCAGAGAGGTGGTATTTGAGTTGAGTATTAAAGATAGCCAGAGCTTTTAGACATGGAAAGGATAAAGCAGGTCCTCCTAGATAAAGAAATGCTAAAGGTCATAAGGGTATAAATGTTATGAGCCCCCTGGAAGAATATAGAAGAGTCTGGTGAGAGTAAAGCATGGGCATGTGGTAGAAGATAAAGCTGGATATGGACACACTGAAGGAAGGTCATCTGTTCCCTCAATCAAATGGAAATGCAAGCCCATCTTTGCGGTGGAGGGCAGAAAGTGCTAAGGGAATGGCTCCATATTCTACATTGCATCATGAACAGTAGACATTATACCTCTACCAGCCTTTTGCCATGGTTGATGCTTAGTTTATGCATCACTGTCTGAAGACAGTGGCACAGAGTCCAGCTTCTGGGACTCGAGAGATTGCTAGTGCCTTAGCTGTTGAGATTGAACTTGTTCGTGGGAAATGAACAGCAGAAGAGAAATTAGGAAGGAGTTGAATCTTAGACCCAACTGACAGGTCACAAAGCAGAGAGGGTGCCTGGCCATACTGGAAAGGAATTTTTCTGGCTCCCTGTGGCAGCACCGATGATGTCTCATAGCAATGCCAATCTGGATGCAACCATTCCACAGACTGTTTTGCTGAACTGTGATTCATGAAGACATCAAGTCTAGGATTTGTTGTAAGTGATCCTTATCTTTTCCCATATCATTTTAGGCTAGAAATAATCCCCAGCCAGCTGGGATGTCACTTTTAGAGGTAATGTGAATTTAAAAAAACAAAGCTCTGACCTCTTCCTTATGGGAACACACATGGCATTACAGAAAAAAGCATTTGTTTAGGGATCAGCAGTTCAGATTCAAGCCTCAGCTCTTAGAATTAAGCAGTTGTATAATCTTGGACAAAATGTTTAGCTTCTCTGAGCTTCAGTTAACTGTAGACTAAAAAAGCATGCCTTGCTTTGTATGAAAAGGCCAGCTATCCCAGGGTGGATGTTAGCAGAAATTAGATAGTCCGAGTGAAATGAAATGAAAACACACTGCTAGTCTAAAGCAGTGAACATTTAGATTGCATGAGAAATAATAAAGTTATTTTAAACTATGAGGGAAATGTAATCAGTTTCTCCCATCCTGCCCCCTAGAGTATCCAGCAGCAATGTTCATCAGCACTAGTCAATGTCTGTGTTGCTGAGTCTCCCATAAGTATAACAGTTGCTTCCTGTCAGGGGCTGGGACCATGTGTACTCAGAGACTGTGTCATCTCTGCTTCACAGGCAGAAGGGAGAAGAGTTTTGGGCACTACTGGCTTCAGGCACAGTCTTTGATACCTTTACACTCCTTTGTATGGTGACAAATAGTCAAGATGATGACATCCAGATGCATTTAAATTAAGTGTGCCTTGAACCAAGAGCACCTGTCCAAAAGTATCCTGCTTCCCTGCCTTCTCCCTTGGCATAGTTGGGTACTATTCACTTGTAGTTCTATGGCCATGAGAAAGGTAATCTCTGTGCCTCGTATTCTCATATCTGTGATATTAGCGTCACAGTCCTCTTTTCTAGTACTATTATTGTGGAGATTACTTACATATTATCTATATGGAGAATGGTACATCATTCCTTTACATGGGTCTCAGCCACACTAGACTTAATGCTCCATGGGAGCACAGTGAGGGATGGGAGTGGGTTTGACATGCAGTAGATTAAGCATAAGTGAATCCAGAAAATTCAACTCTCACAGCCAAAGGGGACAGGCAAGGGGCATGTCAGGAGGCTTCTTGGAGGAACAACAACAAAGAAATTGAGACTGGAAGAATTGGAAGTCACAGGCAGGTGAGGAGGAGGGCAGGACTCTAGCGTGTGTCACTCAGCATAGCGACACGATACAGTGAGAGGACAGGTGGTCATCAGTGTGATGAGGGGGAGAAGTGGAAATGTATGCTGAAGTTCTCAAATGCCATGTTAAGTGGCATAGACTGTGTCCCTGAAAGTCAGAACTTTCCAAATTTCAGTCAGTATCAGCCTCACACATTTTGCCAAATCTGAGTATTGCAGTAACTCTTCTTTAATCATTTACTTAATATGGCCTTTAAATGGACTCACCTTCTTTTAAACTAAATAAACTTACTTTATAAGGAAATTCTGTTACCATTGTATATAATAACCTATTCCATTTGTCATAAATAAAAGAAAATGAAACCCATAAAGTGAAACCAAACTATATTATTACATGCTTACTAGGTGCTTTTGCCAACTGACAGCTCTGAGCCCAAGCCTACTACCTCTTGGACAAAAAGGGAAATCAGCAGGTTTTTGAGGAGTATGACAGCCATAAAGCGCTCCTACAGCAAATCTTTTCCTTAGAAGGATGGAGAGGGATCTGGGAAGCTGCTGCTGTGGATCTAACATAAGCTAATGCTGTCACCATGAGTCTCTAAAAGCATTCTCAGAGCTACCAGTGCCAAGTGTCCCATTATTAAAAAAAATTCTCCTGGGGTGACAAGAAAATCTTTGAAATGTTTTGGGAAAGAAAATTTATGCTCTTAGGACATATTTTAGTGGGGTGTGGATTTATAGGGACAGAGACTGGTCACAGGGAGATCAGGTAGAACAAAGTTGCTGTGTCCCAGGTGACAATGAAGCTCTAACAAGCAAAAGTGCCATAGTTCTAGGGAGAAGAGAAGCCATTGATGGCACATTAGAGGAACATGGATTGTGCTTGATGACTGACTGTGCAAAGGATCTAAGATGTCTTCCAAGGGGTCACCTTGGATGAGTGGAAAGATAATGATGACATAGTGAGCTAAAGGACACTGCAGGTGAAGTTCCCATTTTTCTGCAAACTTGTCTAGGAACCTTCTCCTAGGCTCCTACACTCCTTCCAAGTTGCTCAGACCTCTGGGGTGCCCCAGTCAGACCTGGGGAAGAGTTCACACTGCAAACCCATCATCCTGCCTATGGCTATCTCAAGGTGGGGGACAGGCTGAAGAAAAATCACTCTACATTTCCTTTTTTCCACTATTGTACTGTAAAACACTTTCTTCCTCCTCCTCCTCCTCCTCCTCCTCTTCTTCCTCTCCTTCTCCTCCTCCTCCTTCTCCTACTCTTCTTCCTCCTCCTTCTCCTCCTCCTCCTTCTTCTTCTTCTGCTGCTGCCGCTGCTGCTACTTCCTATTCCTCTTCCTCTCCCTCTTCTTCTTTTGATGGTGTCTTGCTCTGTCACCCAGGTTGGGACATAGTGGTGCCATCTCAGCTCACTGCAACCTTTGCCTCCTGGGTTCAAGCAATTCTTGTGTCTCAGCCTCTAAATAGCTTGGATTACAGGCATGCACAACCACACCTTGCTAATTCTTCTATTTTTAGTACAGATAGGATTTCACCATATTGGCTAGGCCTTGGACTCCTGGCCTCAAATGATTCACCCACCTCGGCCTCCCAAAGTGCTGGGATTTCAGGTGTGAGTCACCATGGCTGGCTCCTGTTGAAAACTTTTAAAAGGATGGTCAAACACATGGAAAACAAGACCTTCACAATTCACTCAGAAAAATCCCAAGAATACACATGGAGGCATGCAGAGTCCAAGAGCTTACCAATTTTCTTTTTCCAGTCAGTGACCAAGTGAGGTAGAGAAAGTTAGAGGCTAAGTGTATATATTTGCACATTATATAATGTGTTGGTCCTCCTGAAGGAACAATTTTCTTGGCCTCAGGTGACCCTACTTCATGGCTCAGACAGATGTCTTTAATTGCTTCAGTAGAATTCCTGCCCTTTTATTGAGGGTCCAGTAGTTATCACATCAATTTGATACATCCTGAAATGACTCCACTCATCTTATTCTCCCTGATCCAGATGAAAATAACAGCTGGAGGTCACAGCAGAAAGTGGTTAATGAACTAGCCCAGACTATGGTATAAATGACTGTGAACATGTTAACTGTCTAAAATCTAGCAATAAATTAACCTACAGGAATGAGTATCTAATAAAGTTTCAAATCTGTGGGACTTTCTTTTGAAGTGAAAAATGAATTTTCCTGTGAGGCTACCTGAAATCAACGGTCTCCATGGCTCTTAAGTCCATTGATTGGGTAAGCACCAATGTTCTGTAAAGAACATTCCCAGGAATCCAGCCACAAAATCAGCTCTGTTCTGAAACACTTTCATCAATTTCTAAGTATGATTATATTTATTTCAAAGTGAAAACTCATTTGGCGATACTTTAAGTTGAAAACACACTAACAGTGGTGCCAAGAACGCATAAAGGCTTTCTGTGGAAGATCAAAATGTTTTCCAGTAACTTCCTTAGGGTGGCCAAGTGATATAATCTGACATAACATATGGAAATACAAACATACTATCTGAATAGGAAAATGGAAGGGAACACAGGAGAAGATGATAGGCGTTCCGGAATTACAAGGAAACTATGAAGTTCACTATTTAGGGAAAGTAGAGTTTCCCTTTCTGTTATTATACATCAATTTCCTTTAAGTGAACATAATTTGAATCTGTCCTTGTTGACAAATTTCTACTTGAACCTTTTTTACTTGTTGATTCAATGTTGAACATTATCTACTTGAAAGGATTTAAAAGGATGTTTCTGATTAGGTTTAAAGTATTTCTTAGCTACAATACAGGAGGTCAATAGGCTTTGACATTTGTAGTCATTCAGAATCCTCAAAGTCAACACAAGCCAACAGGTCTATTTCCTTTAACTTTCTAAAGGTGATTGGTTTAAGAATATAGCTGCATTACAGCCTGCAATGTTGTATAATCAAAATTAGTGATATGGGATATAGAACATAATCTTTCTCCAACAAGCCATGTTTTCTTGCCCAGAAGCATTTTCTTTGATAGAGCAATTGGTTTATTCATTCAAATCGTAGGGTCTTAAGACAGAAAAGGAACTTTAATGTTCACCCACCACATGCTACTATATCTAGAACAATGGTTTCCAATCCTGGATGCTCAGAATTTCCTGGGGGAGCTTTTAAAAATTGCATATGTCTGGGCTCCACTGCTGAACTACCAAATCCTAATCTGTGGTCGTTTTAACTGAGGCATCAGTGTTTTTAAATCCAGCCTCTCTCCCTCCAAGACGCTGAACAACAGCCAGGATTGGTGACCACTGACTTGGAATTCGGATTCACCTCTACTATTGAAACCTTGTTACTGAGCAGTCAGGTTCAAGCAATGTGACTCATATATAAAAGATACAATTTGTAATATGACCTCTGAGGCAGTATTTATTTGCTTTCCTGTTTCCGGTACAAGATGATTTTTGTTTTTCTTTTCTCTACAGCCAGGAGAATAGAATTCGACTCAGCAAGAATAAGGTCTTAGTTGAGCGGAGAGAGAGGATAAGAGGCAAGACACCCCTGATACCACCCTTTCCCTCTCTGTTCCAGGGAAAACTGGTAACATCCTATGTAACCCACTGGGATGTGATCAGAAACTAGAGAGCTGACCCACTAGATCCTAAAGGACTTTGTGCCTTCTGACAGCCAAATCATTGGCTTGAGCAACAATGTACTTCCGCCTGAGGAGTGGGCTACAGAGTCACTGCCAGCCTGTAAACCCTGAAGCATTGTACCAACTTAAATTTATATCCAGTATAGTGGATTTACTTATTGGCACCTGCAATATGTACTTCTTAAGACTCAGAAATCATGTTGTAGCCATTAACTTAATGAGATAATGAATAATTATTGAGCTTCTACTTTTGCCTGACACTGTGGTAGGCATTTTTGTGAACAGAGAATAGAAATTAAGCCCTGATTTCAGAGAACTTCTGTGTTATGCACCTGTGTAAAATAATGGGAAAAAAAGTGAGTTGAACTCTGATTAGTGAGCAGAGATCTCTGGGACTTTGGACAATGATCAAAACTGAAAGTACATATAGCAGAATAAAAATAATAGAATTGGACCAAAACAAAGACATATTAGAAAGGATCTTGAGAATCCAACAGAAGAAGTTACACTTGCTGCATTGAGTCAGTGGGGGATTTGGTCCAATGCCCCAATGATACACGAAGGGGTAGTGAAACTTGAGGATAGGGTAGGGCTGTGTGAGGAAGGAAGGCTGTTGACGTGACTCAGGCAGAGGTAATCACATGATGCTGTGGCAATGGTATTCCATTTTGAATGGGAAAAAAATGATAGAATTAGTCTTTGGGAATGGAGAACAAAGAATAATGAGTCAAAGGAGATACGAGATTTTTAGAGTAAATGAGTGTATAGACAGTCATGGTGGGAAAGAACTCAAAAGTCTGCTTTTAGACATACAGAGTTTTAAGCCATACTAGGATATCTAAATAAAAATTTCCAGCTGGCAGTCAAAGATGAGAGGCCGGAGTCTGAATAAAAGAAGAGATCTTGAGTTTTAGATTAAGAAAGATCTACAAGGAATATAGTCTGAAATGAGAGGACTGATGGATTCTTTAAGAATGAAAACCTAAGAAAAACAGAACAAGAGATTGCAGTCTGGGGAATAGCCTCCAGAGAAGAGATCATCAATAAGTTCTAGATGTTTGTGAGAGATGTGCTGGTGTAGTTATTTATAAGTGTTAATAACTCCTATGTAGTTTTAGTGTGATTGAAATCTCAGACTTTTGCCCAGAGCAACTCCATCTTGTGCTATCGATTCGAAATTTTCCACACAGAATAAAGTACCTTTTGCACATTATCTTATGTTGACCAATTAATTAGCTCTAACAGGACGTTTTTTAAGGGGAGAAATGTATACAAAATGGGGAGAGGCAGTTACTTTTTTAAACTGTGACCTTTATTTTTCATATTTTATTCATCATTTTTTAGCAGATAAGGTTAAACATCTTGTTGTTCAAACTGTATTACAAATTTATTGAATTTGTGGGAAAAACATTGAAACTTAACAGTATTAAGCACTATAAACATATTATTTATTTTTAATCAACATATCATTATTTGTTCTCCAATTACCAGTCAGTCATAGCTCTCTGTATTATTCCAGATTGTGAAATACAGAGCAAGCCAAGGTGCATAACAGAGAATCTATGTAATGGAATTCAACAGGAAATAGCAGAAAATAGTCATTAACTTTCTTTTAGACTTTAAATAATATCACTAACTTATCTGCGCCAATTTCACCTTATCTATAAAACGGGCCTAATGAGAACTGACACGCTCACCTAATAGGTTTCTTATGAAGACTAGAACTAAAAAATGGAATAACTTCCTCATATAGTTTGGCTATGTCCCCACTCAAATCTCATCTTGAATTGTAGTTCCCATAATTTCTATGTGTCATGGGAGCAACTAGGTTGAGATAGTTGAATCATGGGGTCAGTTTCCCCTATCCTGTTCTTGTGATAGTGAGTTAGTTCTCATGAGATCTGATGGTTTGATTAGGAACTGTTCTCCCCTTCACTCATTTTTCTCCTTTCTGCCATCATGTGAAGGACATGTTTTCTTTCCCTTCTGCCATGACTGTATGTTTCCTGAGGCCTCCGCAACCATGTGGAACTGTGAGTCAATTGAACCTCTTTTCTTTATAAATTATCCAGTCTCAGCCAGTCCTTTATAGCAGCATGAGAATTAACTAATATGCTTTCTAAGCCATGAAGCCTATAAGCATGAAAACCATTACACTGTAAATGCTATGGTCACCAGAAAGAGATTCAGCTATTAGCAAAATGGTAAAATAAGCAAAGGAGTGTTTGCAGGGCAAATCCCCAAGCAACTCTGAGGGATTCTGATTGAGAGTGTGACTGAGATTTTCTAATTTTGAGCTTCCCTCAAAAGGAAGCACTCAGAGAAGGGTTTTTGCTCAGATTGTTTACTTGGAAAGCACTGCAAGGGAGTGGGAAAGGAAAACAGGGAGGGAGAAGAGTCATAAAGGTGGCACGAATGAGGTTACTACTGTGAGCAGCAGATGCTCCATCTCACTGGGGACTATTTGGGACACTCCTGAAAATTTTCCACTAGGGGGTAATAAATGTCAGTTACTTAGGCACCAACTTCCATTGCACCCTGGGAGGGTTACTCCTAGGGTCTTTGCATCCAGGCACTTCTAGGCTGTGTTGAATGACAGAAAGCCATGGGGATGTACTTAAATGTCTGCTGGTGACCTCCAGGATAGGTCAATGGCGTTTAGAAGGGGCATCTGAGCATCTGCTTTACAGTCAAACAGACTTTGTTTTTAATCCTGGATCTCCTCCCCATAAGCTGTTCTGTGTCAGCATATCACTCATCTGTCTTAGCTTCAATTTCTCCAGCTGCAAATTGGAAACAACAGTAGCTACCTTGCAGAATGTTAAAGACATTATTACGCATTCTTTCAATGGCATGGGTAGTAGCCAGTACTATTTTAAAATATCCAATGTTCTAGGAAAAGGCTCATGCTATAAAGGTAAGTGAATAAGAGAGATCACATTTATTTGCAGCATGGGTCCAAGTTTGTGAGTTGTATGTGTTTTATATGTAAAGGCAATAATTGGGACAAAATATACTGAGATTAAAGGTGACTAATTCTGGATAATAGATTATTTCTATTTTCTTATGCATAGTTTCTTTTTTGTTCTATGTTTTCTACAAAGGGTATACATTATTCTGTAATCAGGAAAAGGCAAATTTTATAGAACTTGTTTTCCAGATTCCTGTAAAGGTAATAATTATATTAATATAAAAATTGCTTATTATAGTACATGACAGAATGTGTGCTCAACATATGGTCATTATAAAAAAGAAGACGCTGCTAATGTAAGTAACTAATTAGATGACTGGTTACTATTTGTCAGATCCTGTACAAAGCACTTTATGTTTATTTTTTCTTTTAATTCTCGTATCAGTCCTATGTGGTAGGTATTGGTCTTACCACCATTATAGAAAGGGAAGAAACTGAGATTATTAAGAAAGTTGTGGCTTATTTTTAAAAACACTTTCCTATGTCTTGAAACCCCTCAGAATGGCTTTGGCACTTTTAAGTAAATGATTCAGAATGGCATTTGTTCCTTTACTTAAAAAAATTTTAGAGATTGAATATCATTTTGACAATTGCTATGTTAACAGAAAAATGGTTAAAATGAAATGTCAAAGAGTAGCCCTTGGTCACTTCAGTTTGCGAGCAGGCTGTGTGGTCGAAATCAGATGGACTCAGGAGGCTTTCACCGGGGCCTGAAAGGTGAGATTTTTTTTGCATCTCTGAAATGCAGCTATCTTTTCTCACAACAAATGAAAGCTGAAGACAGGCATTTCAGCATGCCAAGACCTCACATCTGAGAGATGAGACTTGAAGAGAAGGCTGCTGCTTGGACAGCTCTATTGCATTAACATAACACCACCACCACAATTCCAGGACACACTCATTATGAGCACAGCATGAGAAATAATAATTAAAAAAAGATTTGTATTAAACTTCATTTTATTTATTTTGCTGACCATAAAGCTGAGGCCCTTCTACTGTTTCTTTCTTATTAATTGTTAGTTTGCTGTGTTCTCTGAAAGCACTTAGGACTTAATTAAAATAATTTAAATGGTCATAATCTGTCAAGCTTACAGTTCCCCTTAAAAGCCATTCTGCTCTCCCCTTAGTGAATTTCATTGTAAAGAAATCAAAGAGAAAAACTCAGGATATTGTCACCATGAAGATAAGTGGGGAAGAGGGTATAGAAAGGGAGGGAGGTGAAAGTGCCTGCATTATTTGAATAGCAGCAAAGCCATTCATAATTTCAGCTTAATTATCTTCAAATGATAAAAGGCTTCAGCTACTGTTTGCCAGAAGTAAAGGCTTTGGAAATAAATACATAGCACTAGCTCTATTTATTTTCATGGCACTTCTCTGATTCTGTTTCTTCTTGGTGGAGAGGATCCAAGAGGGGGGTAGAACGACAACTTTGGTTATGATGGTTTTGATTTAAGGTGGCAAGGATGCTTCTAAGTGTTTTGAACATATACTGTCTTCAATTAAATGGAGGCTTCTGTGTGGATGAGCAAAAGATCTTGTGTCCCAAATAGAAAACAAACATCATTTTCTAGGAAATATAAACACTGCAACTTCTATCAGTGGGTTTATATTTGCAGATTTAGTCCCTTACACAGTGCAAGGAAAACTTAGAGTCAAAAATGCCATGTCACATTGGTTTAATATTATTTTAGCTCCATTTTGTGACATATCCCTTGATTTTACTGATATTTCCCTCATCTTGTTGTAATTTATATTTTCTTGTGGTATTGTGTGCATTATTTTGAGCTATCTTAAGTTATTTTTAGAAAAGAGTAAAGTATAAAAACATTTTTTTAAATAGTACATAGGCAATAGTGAGGTCTCTACTCAATACTCAGAAAGATGGAATGAAAATGTTTGTCTTTAAGGAGTGAAAATAAAGAGAGCCCACTCTAGGCAGAGGAGACTGCGTGCCAGGCAGTATGATTATAGATTGGTTGTTCCACATTGAGAAGGAGTCTTTCAGTAAAAAGTGGTAATTTGCTGTACTCTGAGATACCAACTTAATAGTCTACCACTGTTGCTGAGGGAGTCACTAAACATGGGGAATCACAAGAATTCTGCCAACAGAGGTCTCTATTGTAGGGCAGGGGAGGTTCATCAGACATCACCATGGCCGGGATAAATGATGTTACAAATACCTATTTCCTTTTCTTCTAAATCAATGCCAATGTAGCAACTTTATGATTATTCACTGGGCTTCAGGCACCTTGATAGGGGAACCAGAGACACAAGAGAAAAGCATATTGATTCCTAGAACAAACTGTCTCACTGTAAAATTACTCATTGAATTTCTGGCATATCATTAGTAATGTATACTTAGATAAGAGAGGTTTAACCCCAAAACACTGATCATACCAGTGTGCAGAGAAAGTCTAGTTTCTGTTCCTGTCCGGTTGTGTCCTAGTCTGAATTTATCAACTCATCTAGAAAATAGAGCTTATGTGATTTCTAAGTGGCCAGGCCACAGCCTTCCCTTGTTTATAGCCTCTCCCTGGAGTGTATCTTTGATCGAGTTTCCACAGACTTCTGACTTAATGATTTGACTACAGAAAGCTTATTTGAAAGATAATCCCTAGGATCACGCAAAAAGAATAGAAGGGAGTTCAAGAAGGAAGAAACAAAATCCAATGTGGTCAAATGAGGCTCAGTGCTGCTGGGAGATCCTGGGAGATGGTTGTGAATTGTCCCCCATGAGAAGTGGACTATTTAACCTTCATCACGTTCCTTATTGGCCAGGAATTGTTTCTGAGGACATTACCTCCACAGGACTCTGCCTAGGCTAAGCATACTTCTTCAGTCACAGAAAATCCTCAGATGTCAAATTGCAGGTGCTAGCAGGAGGAAACCCTGGGAGAGTTAGAACAGTGAGCACTGACAAAATCTGGGAGAGTCATCAGCAGAGCCTGCTACAGGTCCTTTAATAATAGCAGCATATGAGACAGCACTCTTGCATTTCCTGTATCCCTACTGATGTTTTGCTATGTACTTACCACATTCATTGAGTGTGATTCTGAATCCTTTAGCATGCTTTAAGAGAGCAATCCATGCTAGATCACTAAAAAGGAACACTAAATGAAGGCTGAGTACTAATGGTGCTTTAAGAAAATAAGAAAAAAATGCACTGAAACTGTGAACATGCAATATCACACAATTTTATCAAACCTCTTTACATTGATGTTATGGTAAGAATTGTTTCCATTTTAAATTATGTGTGGTAATTTGGGAGGTGTGGTAATCAGACCTCAGGGATTCTAATGGCGTTAATGCAGTCCCGAGAATGAAGATCCCAATCAGAGACTAATTAGCTTCCTATCGCCAAGGGCATCGCATGGTTATAGCCACCTCCAGGAGATGCCTTTCCGACGGCCACGCTTTCTTTTCTGGGAATGGGCTCAGCATGTAAGAGTGGACCTGAGGTAGCAATGCTTTCACTGGATGGTCCTGCCCCTTTGACCATGATACTTGAACAAAGTTGTGCCAATCAGAGTTGTGCTCTGAGGAATTTTAATTTTTGGATGAAGAAATCAAGACCAAAACTGATTGTTCCTGAAAAATTTTAAGGTGGTAGAACTTTGGAAGGAGGGTTTGCTATGGTTTGGCTCTGTGTCCACACCCAAATCTCACGCCAAATTGTAATCCTCAATGTTGAAGGAGGGGCCTGGTGAGAGGTGATTGAATCATGGGAGTGGACTTCTCCCTTGCTTCTCTTGTCATAGTGAGTGAGTTCTCAGGAGATCTGGTTGTTGAAAAGTGTACAGCACTCCCCACTTCGCTCTCTCTCCTGCTCCGCCATGTGAAGATGTACCTGCTTCTCCTTCATCTTTTGCCATGATTATAATTTTCCTGACACCTCTGTAGCCATGCATCGTGTACAGCCTGTGGAACTGTGAGTCAATTAAATATCTTTTCTTCATAAATTACCTTGTCTCAGGTAGTACTTTATAGCAATGATAGCAATGTCAGAACGGTCTAATACAGGGTCTCTGTGCTCTTCTAGAATTGAGGTCTTGGTTTTTCTTTCCATTCCAAAGCCAATGTCATTAAACTCCTCCTAAGACTCTAACAGAGTAGACTAAACATGTATTTCTTGCCTTTTTAGCACCTAGCCCCCAATTCTGACTTTCTAACAGGGCCCAGGTTGACATTCAGTTGTCTTTTTTGTGGATAAAATGACCCTACCCCTAAGTCAGAAGAGGGTACTGGTGGGAACAACCCAGTCATTTATTTATTTCCTTTGTCATAGTGACCATCCAGACCAGGTCATCCCTTGGTTCACAGAGATTGGTAAAGGATTAGGCACATGACCCAAATCAAGACCAAAAAAGATACAAGGTGATTTTTTTTTTTTTTGAAAACTAGGGAAAAAATTATTCTTGCTTTTGTAAAGAAGTTTTCCTAAGAAATGGCTTCTTCTCTTAGGGATGATGTTTCACCGATGTGAAGGCTGGTAGTGCTGCAGTCATTTTTCCACCATGAGGGAATGCAGCTTAAAGATGCAACATAAGGAAGGACAGAAAACCATAGAGAAAGTACATACTTTATATCATAACTGATCGATCGTTGAGACTTTCCCTATTGCAAAAATATCTAGTTATCTGAGCCCATAAACCTCCCTTATTGTTTAAGCCTTTTTGAGTTGAATTTTCCATTCCTTGTGGCTATAAGCATGTAGTTTGTCTTAGGTCAGACTTTGCAGAATCAAAGCCTGAGACAAGGATTCATGTGCGAATCTTTTTTTAGGGCAGGGATCCCAGGAGAAACCTGGCTGTATGACATGTAGGGGCGGGAAGAAGAAGAAATTAAACAAGATGTGATATCAGGCAGAGAGTTTCAGTCATATTCTGAAATGGAATCTATAGTAAGTCATTCATAATTTATCTTTAACCCAAAACCAGTGGGCTGGAATCCCATACTCTTACATCATTCAGTGACTGGCTAAAATCTGCCCTAGGGGACATAGAATTCCAGACATTTACAGCTCTCTGTGTAGGAAGATGAAGTGGCTCTAGAAAGGAAGTCTTTCAAAAAGAGTTGCAGGTGCAGGCAAGAGCAAATAGAAGCCAGAAGAGGAATTGATAAAAGTAGTAAAAGGGATTAGGATCGGAGTGAATCTGAGTGGAGCACCAACAGTATTAGCGCACAAATTTATTAGTCTTCAAATAACGTTTATTGATTCCTTTTGTTGAGCACCTACCAATAGAAGCTGTGGTTAACATAGACAAGTAAATGGAGTGGTGATAATGAACGTGATGCTTTTGACAAAGTTCAAGGAGTGTGTAGGTGTCGATGCCACAATAGCTAATGGAAATCTTTAAAGAATCTGCAGCATAGTGTCCTAGAGAGACTCCAAGATAGCATCCTTGACTCTCCCCTCTTGCTATTTTATGGTTTTGTGTAGTCCTCTCCAACGCGAATAGGACTGTCCTGTGTATCAATAAGATATTGCAGAAATAGTGAAGTGTGACTTATGAGGCTAGATCATAAAAATCATTGTAGCTTCCACCTGGTTTCCTAGGATCATTCATTCTTGGGGAAGCTAGAGCCATGTTATAAAGAATCCATGCAGCTGTATAAAGGGGCTTAAATGGTGAGGAGCTGAGACCTGCCAACGACCTTTTATGGAAGTGAATCCTTCAGCTCAGTCAAGACTTCAGATGATGACAGCCCTTGCTGCCATCTTAACTGCAATATCTAATAGAAAACATTAAGCCAGATAGCTCAGCTATGCCACTCTTGAATTTCTGACCCAAAGAAACTGTGAGAATAATAAATGTTTATTGTTTTAAGCTGCCCATGAATGGGGGTGTTTTGTGCAGCAGTAGAAAATGAATATACCATGCAAACCACTTACATACCTGAAACACACTTTTCTGAAGAACAAACACACTTTTTATTTCACTTGCTCATTCACTCATTCATGAAGTATTTCATGCCAAGAAATGTAGTACAGACAAGTGATTCACGCCTTGTCCCAGTCCTCTAGGTACTCCATCTAAAGCCTACAAATTCTCTAACAAATCTTGGGTCGCCTTAGAATTATCTGCTACTGATATCAATATACATAGAAAATACCATATAATCTAGCAATCCCAATATGACTATATATCCAAAGGAAATGTAATTAGTATGTCAAAGAGATATCAACTGCACTGTACTCCCATGTTTTGTTTTGTTTTGTTTTTTGAGACAAGGTCTCACTTCATCATCCATGCTGGAGTGGAATGGTGCAATCACAGCTCGCTGTGGCCTCGACCTCCCAGGGTCAGGTGATCCTCCCACCTCATCTTCCCAAGTATCTGGGACTACAGGTATGCACTACCATGCCCCCATGCCTGGCTAATTTCTTTTTGTATTATTATTGTTTTTTTCCACTTTGCCATAGTTGTTTTATTGTCATTTTTATTTTATTGTATTATTATTGTTATTGTTATTATTTTGGTAGAGACTTTCACATGTCCCCCAGGCAGGTCTTGAGCTCATGGGCTCAAGCAGTCTGCCTACCTTGGTCTTTCAACGTAATCATGCTAGGATGACAGGTGCGAGCCACTGCACCCAGCCTCCCATGTTCACTGCAACATTATTTATAATAGCCAAGATATGGACTCAACCATCAATGATGAACAGATAAAGGAAATGTGGTATATATACACATGGGATATTATTCAGCCTTAGAAAGAGTTCCTGCCATTTGCAAAAATATGGATGTATCTGGAAACTTACATTAAGTGAAATAGGCCAGGCAGAAAAAGACAAATACCAGCTGGGTGAGGTGGCTCATGCTTGTAATCCAGCACCTTGGGAGGACAAGGAAGGTGGATCACCTGAGGTCAGGAGTTCGAGACCAGCCTGACCAACATGGTGAAACCCCATCTCTACTAAACACAGAAAACTAGCTGAGTGTGGTGGCACATGCCTGAAATCCCAGCTACCTGGGAGGCTGAGGCAGGAGAATTGCTTGAACCCAGGAGGTGGAGGTTACAGTTAGCCAAGATTGTGCCATTGCACTCTAGCCTGGGCAACAAGAGTGTAACTCTGTTTCAAAAAAGAGAAAAAAAAACAAATACCACTTGACCTCTCTTATATGTGGAATCTAAAAAAGTCATATTCATAGAGTAGAATGGTGGTTACTAGATGGCGGTGTGGGAATAGTTGGGAAAAAGAAGGAAAATACAAAGCTGATTGGAAAAGCTATTTGCACATTTAGCTAAAAGCCTGAGCCAAAAAAGCAAAATGTTAAAGAGAAATGCATGCAAATACATCATTTTGTCAAAAGCCAGTGGGATTGTCTCAAAACTGATGCCCTCTATGGACCTAATGGCACCAAGGAAAAGATAAGCTCCTGCCACATATCCAGTGCTGAGAATTATCTTGACAAGACCATTCATTTTTGACATTGGGCATGTGCAGGGATACTTCATTCCTAGAGGATGAGGATAATTGTGTGCAATGTTCAACATGCTCTCTATTCAATGTCAACTCTGCACAAATAAGCATTTTGCCATTTAGTTGGGTGAGGATGGTGATCATAGCAGGCCCAAGTGCAATATTCTGATAATTTAAGAGCCCAGTCAGATCTGAGAAGTTGGAAGGTCTCATAACAGATTTGTCCTCTCTAATACAGGGTTAATGGTGAAATCATAAAGAACAGAATCTGTCTAGTTTCTTCCTCACAATTTACATACTTTTTCATTTCCCACTTCTGAAAATATAATACTAGAATTGGGCTCAAGCATTATGTGGGTTTTCTGTCAAAATGAGTATTTGTTTTGGATGATACAAATGGTATATACCACTTTACATAAGGTGCCTGGTTTCAGGTAGCATGTATAAGTTGATAAAATTCAGTAAGTATCACTTAGATAATTTAATAGAATACTATGCCGCTGTGCTAGTATTTTTGTGGGTCACTTTTATAGCTTCTTAAAAGGTTTATTTTACATATACTGACTATACAAATTTATAAATTTGGCACATGTGTACACTTCGGAAATCATAATCTCAACTAATATAATGAACATGTCTTTCATATGCAAAAGCTTCTTCTGTAATTCTTCCCTCCTGCCTTTCCCCACCAACGCATCATCTAACCACAGGCAAACTCTGATTTACTTTCTGCCACTATGATTAGTCTATATTTCCTAGAATTTTATATAAATAGAATTTTACACTGCCTATTCTCCTAGTCTGGGTTCTTTTACTCAACGTAATTATTTTGAGATCCATCTTTTTTTACAACAGACAATAATTTGTTGTTGTTTTTCCTTATTGAGCAGTGTTTTTTTTTCTTTCAGCTACTGATGAACACTTGAGTTGTTTTCAGTTTTTGTTTTGTCTTGTTTTCTTTTTTGAGACAGCCACCCAAACTGCAGCTGTGGGTCCCAGCCTCCCTGTGCTCTTGTGGGAGGGCCAGGAGCAGGGAGGATCTGCCTACAGCAGGTGCCAGTGTAGCTGCTGCGCCTTCCTCGGTGCAAGATCTGGGTGTCTGTGCAGCCTGTGCTCTTGGGGATTCCAGGAAGGAAACCCCTTTTCCCCATCCCTGCAGGGTCAAAGATATCTGCCCAGCTTCTTTTGACTCCCTGTACCTGCTCCCATCTCTGGAGTGGGGTTGGGGTCCAGCCCCAGGGCCATGAATGGCAGTGTGAGGTAGAGTTCTGGATCAAACAGATCCCCAGTAAATCCCCACCTTTGGGCCAGGGAGAACCTGAAGGCTGGGGGCCAGGCTGCCAGTCCTGTGGACCACAGTGGGAACTTGCGTTGTCTCTTCTGGGCCTGCCCATGGGCACTCATGGACCAATCGGCATGTACTTTCTTCCTTCTGAGGTCCATAAAAGCCCTCAACTCAGGCAGAGGAAGGCAGAGGATGGACAAAGGATGATGACAGCAGAGAGAAGATGGGACCAGATGACCAATAACTGCAGAGCATAGAGGAGTACCCGTCTCTGCTGATAGCTGGGGATGATGAAAAGACCAGCTGCCCAGAGAAGTATCTTCTCTGCTGAGAGCTGTAGAAATGACCTGCTGGCAGAGAGAAGCTGTCCTCTCTGCTGAGAGCTTCAGAGACCTGCAGAGACATGGGAATGACTTCCCTATGGAGAGGAGCCAGGGCTTCCTCTCTGCTAAGAGCTGAACACTCTACTGGACAACCTGCCTGCAGAGAAGAGCTACCCACTCCTCTAAGCTGTTCTAACACTAAATAAAATTCTTTTTTGCTCTTCACTTTTCTGCCTACCTCATTCTTCCTGGACACAGGACAAGAATTCAGGCAAAGGTGATGTGGCCACAGAGGTTTCCAGCCAGAAAAATCAGTACCCCAGAGATCCCATAGTATTTGATACATCTATCAAATGTAAAAATTTAACATTGGTGTAATACTACTAACTACACTAAAGACTTCATTTACCCAGGTTTTCTTTTAAGTAATTTCTCTTTTTTCTTCACAGCTCCAACAAGGATACCTCATTGGATATAGTCATGATGTCTTCTTAGTTACCCTGGATTCATAAATTTATTAATCCTTCATGACCTTAACACTTTTGAAGAGTAGTGATAAAGTATTTCGTAGAATTTAGATTTCTCTGATGTTTTCTCATAAATATACTAAGATTGTTAATTTTGAGGAATATTATCACTTTTATACCTAGTTTTTTGAGGGTTATTTTTGTCATTAATGAGTATTAAATTTTATAAATTTATTTTCTGTATCTGTTGTTTAACAATAGGGCTTTAATTTTTTTATTCTTAGTCTAATCTATTGTATCATTTCATTTAAAATATAAACTAATCTTGCATTCCTGGCATAGAACTCAGTAGCTTATGATATATATATATTCTTTATTCATTCTGAATTTCATTTGCTAATATTTTGTTGATAGATTATGTCTAGGCTTTGAAGTTCTATTCATCTAAAATTTACTCTTCTTATTATGTATCTCTCAAATTTTGGCCTCATATAGTGACTTCAGAAGTACTCTCACCACCTCTATTTTCTGAAATAATTTATTTTAGTGATCTGTTATTTTTTGCTTAAACTTTTGACAGAATTCACAAGTGAAGCCATCTGGCATTGGGATTCTCTTTATGGAAATAATTTAAATATTAAATAAATTAATAGATATAGAGCTATTAATACTTTCTATTTTTATGTGTTTATTTCTTTTTAAGGAATTTGTCTACATCATCTAAATTGTTAGGTTTATTAAGTTAAGAATAACTTATTATGAATCATAATCTGTCGGCATAGTTGAAATGTACATAGGATCTGTAGTGATGTTTCACTTTCGTTTTCAATATTTGTAATGGATGAATTGCTCTTTATTTTAGCTCATATCTCTAGAGGTTTATCTATTTTATTGATTTTGTCAAAGAAACACTTTATCATTCTTTATTTTGGTTCGTTATCTATCTTGTTACCTTATACATTTATCATTGTTAATTCCTTTGTTCTACTTTCTCTGGCTTTTATTTGCTTCTTTTCCCTATCTCCTTGAGATGAAAGCTTATTTAATTAATAATTTTTTCTTTTCGGCGGTGGATCACGAGGAGGGTGGATCACGAGGTCAAGAGATCGAGGCCATCCTGGTCAACATGGTGAAACCCCGTATCTACTAAAACTACAAAAAATTAGCTGGGCATGGTGGCATGTGCCCATAATCCCAGCTACTCAGGAGGCTGAGGCAGGAGAATTGACTGAACCCAGGAGGTGGAGGTTGTGGTGAGCAGAGATCGCGCCATTGCACTCCAGCCTGGGTAACAATAGCAAAACTCTGTCTCAAAAATAAAAAATTAAAATAAAAATAATTTTTTCTTTTCTAGCACCAACATTTAAAGATGATATACAATTCTCTTTAAGCACAACTTGGGCCGTATTCCATAAATATGCTACATACAGATATGCTGTGTTTTCATTGTCATTGATTTAGACATTAACTTTAATTTCATAGTACATTTTAGTTTAGAAATATTTGTGTTTTTTCCAAATATCCTTTTGTGATTGCTTCCAACCGATCCATTTAAATATTATATATCATATACATTGAAACTTTTACTTGTTATTAGATGTCGGGATTGGGGGAAAAATGCGTCGGTTAATGGTGAAAAAAATATAATTAGAACAAAAAAGATCTAGTATTTGATAGCCCAACAGTAAACAATAATTTACTGTATCTTTTTAAATAACTAAAAGAATGGAATTAGAATGTTCCCAACTCCAAGAAATGACAAGTGCTTGAGGTGATGAATACCCAAATTACCATGATGTGATTATTACACATTGCATGCCTGCATCAAAACATGAACCCCATAAACATATACACCTATAATAGTTAAAAATCATTTTAAAAGCCGCAAACCTTTTAAATTCATTGATACTTGTTTCGTAGGCCAAAATATGGTCTACTTTGGCAAATGTTTCATGTGCATGGGAAAAAAAAAGTACATTCTGCTATTTGAGGGTATCATGTTCTTAAAATATCAGCACTTGGTTACATAAGGTTATTCGGATCTTCTGTATCCTTACTAATTTTATGTCTACTTATTTCTATAAATTAATGAAAGAGGAATATTGAAATCTTCAAATATAATTGTTGAGTTTTTACTTCTATCAGGTTTTGCTTCACATATTCTGAAGCACTGTTTTAGGAGCATATACATTTATAACCATTATGATTTCTTAATTGAGTCTTTCATTAACATGAAATGCCTTTTTTCAAGTGACTTGCAGTGCAGTCTGATTCTTTGATGCCTGTTTTTAAGATTTCTTAGGAAAATTTCTCCTATAGAGGTAATTTACTTCTATTACTAGGTTGTGACTGTATTGGTATATCTACTATATTTCTGAGTGTTCAATGAGTTCTCTCCCCATGGCTGACCAGCCCATGTGGGTTCTGGTAACTGTTCTTTGAAAGTTGTTCTCTATTTTGTAGTTATTATTTCCCTGGTTTCATATATTTTTAGCCTCATTTCACGATTTAGCCTTCAGTCAATGACTTGAGAGAACCACATTTCATATTTCTGAAATGCTTTCTCTATTATTCTCTCTCAGGCAAATTCCACCTCAAAATCCTTGAACTTTGGCTGGGTGCAGTGGCTCACACCTGTAATCCTAACACTTTGGAAGGCCGAGACGGGAGGACTGCCTGAGCTCAGAAGTTGGAGACCAGCCAGGCCAACATGGTGAAACCCTGTCTCTACCAAAAAATACAAAAAATTAGCTGGGCATGGTGGCAGGCACCTGTAATCTTAGTTACTCCGAAGGCTGAAGAACGAAAATCACTTGAACTCTGGAGGCAGAGGTTGTGGTGAGCTGAGATTGCACAAGTGCTGTCCAGCCTGGGTGATGGAGTGAGACTCTGTATCCAAAAAAAAAAAAAAAAAAAAAAATACCTGAACTGTAACTTCTGTCTTCTGAACATGAAGAGACCGCTGTGCTCTGCTATGTTTCCCCTTCTGACATTGCATTATCAAAAATTCAGTCGGGCAAAAAGCCATAGTGACAAATGGACTGAACTCTCTTACTTCTCTCCTCTTAAGGATCACTTTCTTTTGTTTCTTGTTTTCAAATGTTTGAGAACAGCCATTTCATTATTTGTCCAGCCTTTTACTTATCTGTAGTTATTGGGCAATGTATTAATTGGCAGCGCTGTCATAACACAGTAGCGGAGACTGGTGACTTGAACAACACAAATTGATTTTCTCACAGTTCTGGAAGCAAAAAGGCCAAGATCAAAGTTTGACAGAGTTGGCTTTTTTTGAAGCCTCTCTTCTTGAACGGTAGATGACCACCTTCTCTCTGTGTACTTACACAGTTGTTTCTGTGTCTGTGTTCTAATTTCCTCTTCTTGTAATATTGGATTAAAGCCCAGTCTAATGACATCATTTGAACTAGATAACCTCTTTAAGACCTTATCTGTAAATACAGTTACATTCTGAGCTATTGGGGATTTATGTTTCAACATATGAAATTATTTTTGGGGGGAGCACAATTTACTCATAATGAACAGTCCAGTAATGATTATGCTTTCATACCAGCAACAGAATTTTTGAAAGCTTGCTATTTGCCAGTCATTTTATAAACATGTTGCAGACTTTAACTCAATTAATTCTCCTAATGTCCCTGTCACATAGACATTATACACTCTATTTTAGATCTAAGGACACTAAGCTTCAAGAGTTAAGTAATTTGCCTAAGGTGCTGTAGCTAATAAGCAGAAGAGTCTGGATTTGAATCTAAGTATTACTCCAAGGCCCTGGTTCTTAACCACTATGCTTTGCTTTCTTTTAGGGCACACATGAAAGGCAAAACTAATGTCTCTAGATTATATTCTTGGACCTGTGGGCAGATATTCCTAAAATGCCTAGCCTTGAAGCTTAACGGCATACAGAGTTTTACTTCTTAGCAACTCACAAATTTTCCCATGTCAGAAAACAGAAAAATATTAGAGTATAATTCATTACTCATATGAAATAAACATCTTTCATTTTGTCTCTCTCACTCAAACTCTTACTTTATCTATATTTACATAACTTTCCTTATGATATTCTTAACATAAGCAAAAATTGAGAATTTTATATAAATGAAGTGTCAAATAGCATAATGATCCAGCATATGTGGAGTAAAGTTTGCTTTATTTCTAAATTATCAGTTATATGTGGATAGCGGGCCAAAGATAACTCTCATCATTTTGGGAGTTAATTTATTCATCAGTCAAATAAAAGCATTCATTTAGGCATCAGTAGAAATAGTTAGACATTGATTTTTCATGGGCCCATTTATGTCAAGGATAATCAATGATTATAAATACATTATGACAGAAATGCCTCCTATCTTGAATAATAAATTAGACTAACACTTGACATCTAAAATTTAGTTTTTAAGTATCTTATGACAGCAGGAGTCTTCTGTGTAAAATAAATAGTTAATATATGAGGCGAAACCGACATAGTAGTATGCAGTGTGGATTCTAACGTTGATACGCCAGTTTGGGCACTGTAGTGTGATTTCTACACAGTTCATATTTTCATATGCATCTTGAGCTACTGTTGGTCAAATGAGGATGGGCCTAAAGGGCCAGATTCATTGGGGTTTGTCTTATAGAATTGGTCTGATTTTAAATATAAATATTTATTCATTATTATTCTTGCTCAAAGAATTTCTTTCAATATGTGACTAAAATGTTAAACATTATGTTCATGAAGACAGAAAAAGAGGTAAAAATAAAAGTAAAAATTGCTGTCAGGCATCAGAGTATTTAAAGAATACTCCACTATCAAAGCTCTTTACTCAGCTTGTTTTGTAGACTAATGATAATCTAGAGATTCGACTTGTTCACGGAAAGTACGGCTTCTGGTGCGCCAATAATGAAAACAGGAGCTTGAGACAAGGACTAAGAGGTGATCTGGGTGGTGATCTCAGGAAGCAAGAATGAGGAATTGAGAAGAGGAAAACAGAGAAGTTAGCAAAGACAATAAGGGTGTGTAATTTGTTTGTCACTGCAGATCCTGGAAACTGAGTCCTACCAAGGAACCTCTGAGGCACCATGTAGAGAATTCCTTAGTTTCCCCTCTGAAGGATTGCAGAATGTGGGTAGTATTTTTCTGTCAACAATCATGCCCCATTAATTGAGGGTTGTCCCCAGGGGCATTAAATTCCTCTCAATTCTGGTCTGTGCCTGGTTGCTGGAAGAGGAGACTTTCCAGTTCCTAGACAAAGCCCTGGGCAGAAAAACAGGTGAGCTTCAAGGGGATGACATCAGCGGCCAGTGCAAGAAACCATCCACCATGGCTCCTCTGAGATCAGTGTTGGGATATAATACAGAGCATCAAAAATATCTGCAACAAATAGAGTATTTGCTTTTTCATTTGTAAAGTGTAGGATTTCTTTCTGAGGGTAAAGTTCTTCCTGATGAGCATGGTCCTTCTCAGTGAGGCACAGAGCACTGCTGAGTAGGAGCATTTGTCCAGTCTTCTAATGAAAGATGAGAATGCAATTTTATCTTTCTCCAGCCATGGTGCCATCTGGATCTGGGATTAATGACTGTAGAGATGAAACTTTAAAGCATTAATCCCAGTGCAATGGCAAATGCACAAATATAAACATATGTGCAAATGGGGGTTAAAGACTATTTAATGATTTTAAGAAACCTGGAGGGAGTATATTCAGTGTGGCCTTGTGAGCAGATAAAATAGGTGACCATTTACAACCTATGTATTTGGAGAGCGGCCATGCCTGGAGAAGAAACACCATTCCAGCACTTTTCTCATCTTTAAATCAGGGGAACTTCATTACAATAACATTTTTAATGACCTTAATTGACACACAATAAACTGCATATCTTTAGACTGTACAAATTGCTAAATTTGATATGAATACACCTGTGAAAGCACCACCACAATCAAGATAATGAATGAATCAATAACATCCAAAAGTTTCTTTATGCCTCTTTGTAATCCCTTGTCTGCCCTAATGTCTTCCCAGGAAACCACTGATCTGCTTTCTATCACTGTAGATTAGTTTATATTCTAGACAATGTATATGAATAGGCTCAGATAGTATATAATCATGTTTTATCTTTTCTTACACTCAGCATAATTATTTAGAGATTATGTTGTTACATGTATCAATAGTTTTTACTTTTTATATCTGTATTTTCCATTGTAACAATATGCTACAATTCGTTTATTCATTAATCTATTTATGTACATTTGGATCTTTTCCAGTTTCTGGCAATGACAGTAAAACTGCTTTGAAGAATTATATACAAGTCTTTGTATGGACATACGTTTTCTGTTCTCTTGGCTAAAACAGAAATGGCTGAGTGATATGGTACGTGTATGTTTAACTTTTTAAGAAACTGACAGACTGCTTCCAAAGTGGTTACATCATTATACATTCCCACCAGCACTGTATAAGAGTTCCAGATGCTCCAGTCATTGCCGACAGTTTGCGTGGTCAGTGATTTGACTGTTAGTGGGTATGTAGTGTTATCTCAGTGTGATTTTAATTTGCAATTTCCTGAAGACTGATGATTGGGAGTATGTTTTAATGTGTTTATTTGCCATTTGTATATGTTATTTACAGAAGTGTCTATTCAAGCCTTTTGCCTGTTGTCTCACTGTGTTGCTGGTTTATTATTGAGTTTTGAGAGTGCTTTATATCAGTCCTGTGTAAGTAACTGATTCGCAAATATTTTCCTTCCAGCTATGCTTTGACTTTTCTTTCTCTTAATAGTGACTTATTAAAAGCAGAAGTTCTTCAATTTGATGAAATCCTACCTTTTGTCTTATGAATTATGCTCATCCTAAACTAGGTCTTAAAATATTTCTTTAACATTTTAATCTAGAATTTTATAGTTTTAAGTTTTATATTTAGATATATAATAAATTTTGAGTTAATTTTTATAGAGTGTGATTTATAGATCAAAGCTTTTTCTTTTGGCATTTGAGTTTCCAGTAGTTCAATCACAATGTATTACTAGTAGCAGAAGAAAAGGTGATTGCAGTTGTAGACTAATTAAGGTTGGTCTCTTTGAAGGATGGGAGTGGGGAGCCTTTATCTGCCATAGTCAGACAGGTTGCCAGGTACTTCGGATCATTTCTAATCTTATCCCAGCTGACAAAATAGGTGTAGCAGATGTGTTTGGGTCCCTAATGGCCCACCTCTTATTTCAGTTGCTGCAGCAAAGGGCATTCTGGATCAGCTCAGGTTCATCTCCTTTGCCACCTCCCACCTCAGCACACTGTGCATTCTACCTCTGGATCTTCTCTAATGTTACATAGTTGGTGCTCACTCAGCATTGCAAATGCAGCCTGGAAATACAGGGAAGCTAATGCCTCAGGACAAGTCTCAACCAAAACACGTCAGCAACCAGTGGATAAATGTTCCTGTCTCAGATTTTTCAGGAGAGCACTTCTGAGGGGCATTCTATAAACTCTTCTTAGGAGCTTATTGAAGAACCAAGCTCCTGGTACCCACAATACAACCTAACACTTTCAACTGCCTTTTCTTCCTCTTTTTTCAATCTCCCCACTCCTTCACTGATGCTCGCTAGGATTATCTTCCAAATAAAATAAAACTGCACTCAAGTCTTTGTCTCAGGCTCTGGTTTTAGGGTAACTCAAACTAAGAAAACAGTTGTTTTTATTCATATATTAGACAGAATTAAATTTCACCAAGATAAAAACAAATGTCTGACGTCACCAGGCTCATAAATGATGATGCTTGGATTCGAGCACAGATCTATTTGTTTCTAGGACCTGTGTTTGTTCCTTGACAGGATCATTCTGTTCATTCACCTGCAGCTTGGCAAAGGCATTAATGTATAGTAGCCAGAAGCAGGATTTAAAGATTCAGGAGCCAGATTGCTTGGTTCTGTCACCTGCTGGCTGTACAAGCCCATTCAAAAGTGGGCAAAGGATATGAACAGACACTTTGCGAAAGAAGACATATATGAGGCCAACAATCATATGAAAAAATGCTCATCGTCACTGGTCATCAGAGAGATGCAAATCAAAACCACATTGAGATACCATCTCACGCCAGTTAGAATGGCAATCATTAAAAAATCTGGAGACAGCAGATGCTGGAGAGGATGTGGAGAAAAAGGAACACTTTTACACTGTTGGTGGGAGTGTAAATTAGTCCAACCATTGTGGAAGACAGTGTGGTGATTCCTCAAGGCCTTAGAAATAGAAATTCCATTTGACCCAGCAATCCCATTACTGGGTATATATCCAAAAGACTATAAATCGTTCTACTATAACGACACATGTACACGAATGTTCATTGCAGCACTGTTTACAATAGCAAAGACCTGGAATCAACCCAAATGCCCATTGATAATAGACTGGATTGGAAAAATGTGGCACATATACACCATGGAATATTATGCAGCAATCAGAAATGATGAGTTTGTGTCGTTTGTAGGGACATGGATGAATCTGGAGAACGTCATCCTCAGCAAACTGACACAAGAACAGAAAATGAAACACCGCATATTCTCACTCATAGGTGAGTGATGAAAAATGAGAACACATGGACACAGAAAGGGGAGTACTAAACACTGGGGTCTATTGGGGGGAAAAGGGGAGGGCCAGTGGGAGGGGGAGGTGGGGAGGGATAGCCTGGGGAGAAATGCCAAATGTGGGTGAAGGGGAGAAGGAAAGCAAAGCACACTGCCATGTGTGTTCCTACGCAACTGTCTTGCATGCTCTGCTCATGTACCCCAAAACCTAAAATCCAATAAAAAATTAAAAAATAAAAAATAAAAAAAATAAGCAAGTTCCTTAATATCTCTGTGCCTCAGTTTTATCACATAAAAATGAACATAGTTTTTTACTTTTACCTCTCAGGATTAAACAAGTTAATATTAATAAATTATTGGGTCAATGCTTCACAAATAAGTATTACATGTATTAATTACTATGACTATTTTTACATTATTGTGGTTGTGGTTGTCATTGTTATCACCAAGCCATACAATACACAAATTGTCTTCCTCCACATCACACCTGCATGTGGTAATCCCATTACATTCCCTGTGAGAGTAACAAGGATGAAAAGTTGAGAGGGATCTCTACTGGCATCATATGTAATCAGAGGATGAAGTATTTTACTGTATCTTTGTGATAAAATCATGCAACTTGAGTAGATATAATCAAATAATTTTAAAAAGTGTTTGTATCAGTTGCACCCCCAAAAAGAGCATATGAGAATTCCATTTGCCTGGCAACACAGATCTATGATGATAGAACCCCATCTTTTAAGAAGCCAACACTGACTGATTAGTGTGCACATCACTCCTCCTACTAAGTCATTCTCTACTACACAGTTCTTTCTAATTTTTATTTATAGCATTCATTTCCAACAACTTGTTCAGTTCATTTATTTGTTTATTTTCTCTACTATCAGAAGCTCTCTGAGGGGAGGGACCTTAACTGTTAATTGCTTTGTTTTTACTGTTTTTAATGGACACATAATAGATGTACATATTTTGGAGGTTAATGTGATAACTTGATACATTCATACAATATGTAAAGATTGTACAGGGTAATTGGGATATCTATCACCTTAAATGATTTTCTTTCCCTTATGCTAAGAACATTTGAATTGCTCTCTTCTGGCTATTTTGAAATGTACGCTGCATGAATGTTAACCAGAGTCACCCTACTGATTATTAAACATTATCTTATCTAATCTTATTCCTTCTATCTAGCTGTATAGTTGTATCCATTAATTAACCTCTCTTCATCTCTATACCCTCTACTCTTCTCAGCTTCTGATAACCATCAGTCTACTCTTATCTTCATGAGATCCACTTTTTTAGCTCCTGCATATGAATGAGAATATATGACATTTGTCTTTCTTTACTTGGCTTATTTCAGTTAACATAATGCCCTCCAGTTCCATCTATGGTGCTGCAAATGACATAATTTAATTCTTTTTTATGACTAAATAATATTTTAGTGTGTATATATATCATACGTTCTTCATCTATTCATGGATGGGCACTTAGGTTGATTATAGATTTTAGCTACTGCAAATAGTGCTTCTATAAACATGAGAGGGCAGCTATCTCTTGGATCTATTGATCTCCTTTCTTTTGGGTATATATTCAGTAGTGGAATTGCTGGATCATATGGTAGCTTTATTTTTAGTTTTTTGAGGACCTTTCATGCTGTTTTCCCTAGTGGCTGTACTAATTTACAATCCCACCAATAGTGTATGACTGTTCCCTTTTCTCTATATCCTCGCCAGTGTTCAGTATTCCCTATATTTTTGACAAAAGCCATTTTAACTGAAGTAATATGATATCACATTGTGGTTCTGATTTGCATTTCTTTGATGATTACTGATGCTGAGCATTTCTTCTTATACCTGTTGGCATTTGTATGTTTTCTTTTAAGAAATGTCTATTCAAATTTTTTGACCACTTTTTAGTTGAATTAATTGATTTTTGCTATTGAATTGTTTGAGCCCTTAAATATTCTGGTTATTAATCCCTTGTCAGGTGGGTAGTTTACAAATATTTTTCCCATTCTTTAGGTTCTCTCGACTTTGTTGATTGTTTCGTTTGCTGTGCAGAATCATTTTAGCTTGATGTAGCTCTTATCTATGTTTGCTTTTGCTGCATGTGATTTTGAAGTCTTACACAGAAATTCTTTTCCCTGGAGCATTTCTTTTATTTTTTTCCCACTAGTTTCATAGTTTTGGATCATTGATTTAAATCTTTAATCAATTTGATGTTTAATTTTTTTATATGGTGAGAGTTAGGGGTCTAGTTTCCTTTTTCTGCATATGGTTATCCAATTTTCCCAATATCATTTATTGAGGAGACTGTCCTTCCCCCATCATATGTTCTTGGTGATGCTGTCAAAAAAGGATTGGTTGTAAATGTGTGGATTTATATCCAGGTTCTTTATTCTGTTTCCATTGGTCTATGTATCTGTTTTTATGCCAGTACCATGCTGATTTGATTACTATCACTTTGTAGTATATTTTCAAGTCAGGTAGTATGAAGCCTTCAGTTTTGTTTTTTGCTCAGGATTCCTTTGGCTATTTGGCTCTATTGTGGTTTCACATAAATTTTAGAATGTTCTCTTCTATTTTTTGTAAAGAATTTCATGGTTATTTTGATAGGAACTACAGTGAATCTATAAACTGCTTTGGTAGTATTGTAATTTTTAACAATATTAAGTCTTCCAATCTATGAGCATAGAATATCTTTTCATTTTGTCATGTCTTCTTTAATTTCTTTCATCAGTATAAATTTCTTTATTAGGTCTTTCACTTCTTTGGTTAAATTAATTCATAGGTATTTTATATAATTTTGGCTAGTGTAACGTTTCTTGTTTTCTGGTTGTTCTGTAACTCTTCCCTTCCATTCTTTCTTATGATCTTCATTTGTGGTTAAGTGATTTTCTCTGGTAGTATGTTTTAATTTGTTCCTTTTCATTTTTAACAAATTGATTACAAGTTTTTGCATTGTGATTACCATGAGGCTTACAAAAACACCTTGTAGATATAACAACTTATTTTTAAAAAATAACTTAGATCACAAAAAAATAAAAATAAAACAAAGAACAAGTGGTAAAAAAATACACTTCAGCTTTATCCTTCACATTTTGATTTTTAGTTATCTCAATTTATATATTTTATATTGCCTATGTCTTAATAGGTTGCTGTAGCTATTGCTGGTTTGGATAGATTGGTCTTTTAGACTTCATATTAGAATTATGAGTGGATTGTACACAACAATTACAGTTATTATTCTTGGTTTGTCTGTGTGCCTAATTTTGCCAA